AGTCCCCTGTGATGAACTACATCTCTGTCAGTCTTCCTGTTCCCCACTCACTCAGCATTTGATCTATGGCCTGGGTAGCAGACTCTATACGTCCCTTGCAACGTTAGCTTGTAAGCAGTCCCGAGGAGACAAGCGTGGATCACTTGGGTTCATCTGCACTGGACTCCACACTTTGCAAGCCTTGTTGTTAATGGTGATGGCAGTACACTAAGCGAGAACAGGGGAGCCATGGCCCAGGATCCTCTATGTCCACATGCCAGCCCTTCCATGTGGCTTGCTCATATCATCCTCACATAAATACGTGGAACTACAAGAAAGCGGGCTGACTAGTGTCCTACACAGGAGCTGACAGTAGCTGTGCCTAGTAGTGGTCCAAGCCCTTGATGTGTGTTGTTATCTATACAATAACTCCATCAAACTGATGCTATTAGCATTAGCTAGTATTATTAGCTCCATTTTATGGCCACCGGAATCAAGGCACCAAAAACTAATAAACTTGTTCTAGCCCATGCAGTTAGTCACAGCAAACAGCAGCGTCTGAGCCTAGGTTTCCAAGTCTGCCCTCTGGCCATTACCATCCCTACTGAGATACGTATGAGCAGTGAGCACTACACTGTGTCTGACTCATGAATCCTTCAAGCCCAAAAGCATAACTTGGAGATCGGGGAGTTGATGCAAACAAGAATGCCAACAGCCCTGATTGCTCCTCCTAACAATGGGCCTGCCAGGTTCCCCAACCAGGAAAATGTTCCAGATATGAGAAATCCTTGGTCCTCAGAGCTGCCCCAACTTGAAACAGGTTACTTTCAAAACATTAAGGCTTCAGGCTGTGAGCATGTGGCCAAAGGACAGGCTTTTGCAGGTGTTACTGTCCCTTGTGGCATCCTTGGAGTACAGATTCAAAACTACTGGATGCTAGGACAAGAGAACTGTTCATAGGTCCAGAGAGCTATGAATGTGTCTAGAAAGTACTAATTAGGCTAGATGTGGTGGCATACTTTAAATCTAGCACTCAGGAGACAGAGGCAGGTGGATCTCTGAATTCAAGACCAGCCTAGTGTACAAAGTGAGTTTCAGGACAGCCAGAGCTACACAGAGAAACCCTATCTCGAAAAACCAAAACAACAACAACATCAATAATAATAATAATAATAATAATAATAATGTAGTAATTGGGAGCTTGACATTGGACTATGGGAAATCTAACAAGTCTCTAACCAAAATGGAAGAATGTCTAAACTCAAATGACATTCAGGATTCAAAACCTTACTGGTAACTATGAGTAAAACCCACTGGAACCAAATGCAGTAGCTAAATGCTATGTTGTGTACTGAAGTCCAAAGAACGGCTTGCACAGGACAGGAGAGAGAGGTCTCACCTGACTAGACAGTTTGTGGGAAACCTGAAGTTTCTTTTGAGATTCAAATTGTGCTGTAGCCACCCACTCCCACCACTTCCTGGCTCGGTGGAATCCACACCACAGAACATATGAGGCAGAAGCTTTGGAGGTGACAGTCAGGACACTGTCATTTAAAACCTGATGCATTGAGGAACTGGAGATAGATGACTGGAAGGTGGCCAGCTGCATCGAAATAGCTACAGGCATGTTAAATATGATGGGGGGCGGGGGTCATTTGTATGTCATCCCAGGAATCCAAACTAGAAAAATTTTCATGAGAGTGCCAGGACCACGGGTTAGAACCTCAGGTCTAAAGATGGAAACAGTTCTTCAGAGGGGCAGAGGACAGGACTGTCTTGGAAGGGTGGGTGACTTTGAAAGCCCTGTATCAGAGCCAGGCCAGCGCCCTCGTCCCCCACCCCCTCCCCGCACCGCCTTCTCCCACCTCTGCAGATGAGGGCAGTGACCCCCGGCGTGAGGCACCACCCGGTGCAGACCCTAGGGAGTATTGCATGTCCGACCGAGACATCGTGGAGGTGGTGCGCACAGAGTACGTGTACACGAGGCCGCCACCGTGGTCCGACACGCTGCCCACCATCCACGTGGTGACGCCCACCTACAGTAGACCGGTGCAGAAGGCAGAGCTGACGCGAATGGCCAACACACTGCTGCACGTGCCCAACTTGCACTGGCTGGTGGTGGAGGACGCTCCACGCAGGACACCCCTGACAGCGCGGCTGCTGCGCGACACTGGCCTCAACTACACACACCTGCACGTGGAGACACCCCGCAACTACAAGCTGCGAGGTGATGCCCGAGACCCTCGCATCCCACGGGGCACCATGCAGCGCAACCTGGCCCTGCGCTGGCTGCGGGAGACCTTCCCACGGAACTCCACTCAGCCAGGCGTAGTGTACTTCGCCGATGATGATAACACCTACAGCCTGGAGCTCTTTGAAGAGGTGCGCTAGGGACCAGAGGAGAGAGCCTGGTGGGTGGGGTTCAAGGAGACTGGAGGATGTGGGGCCCAGACCAAGAGAGGAACAGAGGGTAGTCCCCATGAGGGGACACCATGGCATCCATAGACACATACGGGAAACCTCAGACTGGGCTCACTCACACTGCAGAGAACCAGGGAAAGAAATGGGTAAACCTCAGAATAGATTAAAGGAACCCAGCCCATTAAAAGGAAGTCTGTTGAGGCTTGTGGTTCCCAAACCCTAGTCCTGGCCTTGGAGATTTGTTCTCTGAAAGAGACCTTTTTATGGGATCACTTAACATGGCCACCAGAAACCTCTTGGGTGGACAGTTTGAGCGTGCCTGTTAACTTTTGAGAAGAGAGGCTCAATTCAGCTTTTAAAGTGACAAGATTGAAAGATTTTGTCATCAGGCCATATTGAAAAGGTGACCAACATCTTGGCTGAAAGATGTCTTGAATGCCTAGGTAAGATTCATCCAGGGATTCCTCTAGAGATCAGTGGCAGGAGGTCTGCAGATCCAACTGGGAGGGACTCACACACATCATACACTCATTAAGTGAAGTGATCTACCTCCTGTGGGGATGGGTAGCATTTTCATCCTAGACCCATATCCTGACTCAGGTTCTCACCTTCTAGATGCGTAACACAAGGAGGGTGTCTGTGTGGCCTGTGGCCTTCGTTGGTGGCCTTCGGTATGAAGCTCCAAGGGTGAATGGGGCAGGGAAGGTGGTTGGCTGGAAGACAGTGTTCGACCCCCACCGGCCATTTGCAATAGACATGGCTGGATTTGCCGTCAACCTGCGGCTCATCTTACAGCGAAGCCAGGCCTACTTCAAGCTCCGTGGTGTGAAGGGAGGCTACCAGGAAAGCAGCCTCCTTCGAGAACTTGTCACCCTCAATGACCTGGAGCCCAAGGCAGCAAACTGCACCAAGGTGAGACCCTCTTTAGAACTGATGGCTAGTAATGCAAGCACTCCCAGGTACCTCTAGACCTTCTGTAGATCCAGGGGGAAGAAGAGGCCTCAATATAGCTTTGTCAACCGTCCCCACCCAGGATGGTAGCTTATTGTAAGGTGGCCACAGTGCTAAGCAGGGAGATGGGGAGGGGTTTCTATTGAGGAATCCCAAGGATCACTGGCTCTCCATAGAGACATCTGTGTTCCATGACCCCTGCTGAGTATACACACGCATACACTAAGGCAAGTGCGCACGTGCCTACATGAACATATGCACAGCATATGCACAAATGTACATAGGCATGCATACAGATGTACCTAGATAGAAATAAAGAACAGTTAAAAAATCTTGATGGGGCAATGGTGGAAAGGGAAAAGACAGAATAAATACTTGCAGGGTGTGGCGGGAGCCAGGAGGTGGCGGAATAAGCTGGGCATATGCACCGCTCATTGTGTGTCTCTGGCCACGCAGATCCTGGTCTGGCATACCCGGACCGAGAAGCCAGTGCTGGTGAATGAGGGGAAGAAGGGCTTCACCGACCCCTCGGTGGAGATCTGAGACTGAGCATGCAGGTAGGAGAGAAGGCCGGAGTGTCCAGGGCACTGGACAAGCAGCACCAGTCTGGGATACAGCCTCCATCTCTGAGAGCTTTTCCATTTGCTCCTTAATTGTGGGAGGACAAGACCAATGTGGGCAGAAGCGTGGCCAGAGTCCCCTTCCCACCGCGCCCCCAACAACTAACCAGCAGCTTTCATGCACACAGCTGGGTCCTCCTGCAAGCATCACCTTCTCTCATTGTGATGGTCTTGCTGTGATGTGTGACCCACAGTGAGGGAAGTTCTCACCTGGTTCTGTGGATTACTTCAGATACAGAGCTGTGGTGAGGACACACTACACCAGAGCAGTGGCCCTGTGGCTTTTAGTAGCAGATGAAGGAGCTCACTGAGCCGGAACCCTGGAGCCCACACCACTGCTAGGCTACCATTTACCTGTTTCAACCTGGTGGCACTTCTCTGTTCCTGGTTGTTTTATACATGGAATGGGCTGCCAGGGCACTGGAATCAACCTGTGACACATACAAACCCTATGTAATAGTTCTTCATTTTGAGTGTTTAAATCCCATTGGGGTAGGCCACCATATTTACCTACACTTTAGGGGTGACAGTGATGTTCAGAAAAGAAGCTCAATCATGTACCTAAAATGATACATTAGCCCACTTAAGCTAAGTGTTTTTGAGGGGCTTTTTGTGATCTTGCCTTTTGGGAGCACCACTTTCCGGGTTCACTACTCCAGACCCAGCCACAGATCCAGGGGCTCATACCAGACAAATACTTTGATTTTTGTCTCAGGACACCAGCAGCCACCATGTCCTTGGGACTACAGGGAGGGAGTCACCCCTGAACTTAAAGTCCTTGGCCAGTGCCTCTTAGAATGTGTCAGGACAGAGATTCATCCCACCCCCTGCCCTCGCTGGGTCACTGGAATAATCTCCACCACTTGCTTTTCAAAAAAGTCTCCGAGGGGAACCCAGAGAAGCTCTGTGGAGTCCCCTAGGGTCTCAGGTTGAGCAGTCTGTCCTGCTTGCCCCAGCTCCACCTTGCCCCAGGCTGACACGTGCATTGTTCCTACTTTCCCCACACAGGAATCTCCTTCTCAGACCCTGATCTTGGCCTTCCATCCTCTCCCATGGCTGATAGTCACACTGAGGCAGACTCCTGAGGAGCAGCATCACCTCCTGTCTATTCTGAGGGCTTCCAAGAAAGCTCAGCTAGATGCCAGGATAAAAAAAAAAAAAAAAAAAAAAAAAAAAAAAACAGAGAATTTAAGCACAGAATTCCAGACCTGTTCTCTCCATCAACATGGCCAAAGGCTTAAGAGACCCGAGGGCTGGGGGTTCCAGCGGCCAGCAAAGCCCGTGCTCAGCACACCTCCTTGGAAGCTCCCTGCATTGATGGGGCTGTGTAAGCAGGTGACCCTGCCTCGGAGTGATGCTGGAGCTGAGGGAGGTCAGAAAACCCCACTGTCGAGTGCAGCATGGCTCTCCACGGCACCCTGTTCTTGGGCCCGGCATGACTACACAGCATGTGCCCAGCCAGGACATTGTGAAGACCAGAGAGCAGACCGGGGCATGAAGGTGCCCCAGCACTCCTCATTCACACCTGCTCTTCCTCAGAGCTGCTCCCAAATCAGAAATACCTCTGGCTGTCCTCTGGTTCATGTTTACAGGGCATAAGGCTGTCTTGGATCCCACCTGGCACCCAGCCCTGCACCGGGGGAGCCTGGGCCTACCTACAGCTCCCCCTGTACCTCAGGCTGTGGGAGAACAAAGCCCCTTCCCATGTCCCTCAAGCCTCCTGTGCCAGAATTGGCAAGGTGGTGGGCCTAGAGCCAGCACAGGTCACCGACTGACCTGGATTAAGAACCACATCACCCCAATGTCCACACTGCCTCTCCAATACCCCTGGGCTGCAATGCCCCTTGCCTGGCTTGGACTGGGGAGGCCAAATGCCCTCTTTCCAGAACCTGAGAATCACAGACCTCAGGACTGGAGCTAACAGTCTTCTTAAGCAGAGCTCTTCCTGAGAAAGTGAGGCCCACCAACCACAGCCCTTCCCTGCACTGATTCCTGTGAGGGGTGCATGAGCAGGGGACTCGAGACAAGAGCGGGAAATGTTTGAACACTGAAAGGAAAGGAGACGAGCACACACTCACTGCTTTGGAAATTACTTTATCGTACACAAAGTGGGAAAGCTTGCCAAGCCAGCCTGCCTCATGCCCACTCCCCTTCTCCACCCCAGAGAAAACAGTATGCCCAGGCTGTTGCCCCCCACCCCCCATCCAAGAGACACAGCTGCCTGGGTGCCCAGCATCTGAGAGGCCCCTGGCTCTGGCTGGCTGGCACCCTCTGGTGGTCATCTCACTCCAGCTCCTACAAGTTGGAAGCACAATGTTCCTCCCAAGTGGGGAAAAGGAAAGGGCACAAGCCCACTGAAGAGGTGTTTATTTTTTAACCGCTAACAGCTCTCCCCCTCCATTAAAACTCATAGGACAGGCCCGAGAGTCTTTCAGAACCCACTCTTGGGTGGGTAGGACTCAGTCCACACATCTAACATTCAGAGAATAGCATCGGCTGCCTATTTTGAAATGAATTTTACTTCCCACAGCCTTCAGGAAACCATCTGATGGGATTAGATCCCACAGCCACCTTGCAGGATATTCCCCCCAACCATTGACACTTGGGATGTTGCTTTGGAAATTGACCCCTTGGCATCAAATGGGCGGCATGGGAGAGGGAGGAAATGGGCACAGGGCATCTATCCGATGAGTGGATTTATTTTATGTCTGGGCACTCCACTGCTCATTCATAGAAACTGACAGTGAATGCCAAGGTCAAACCAGCTGCTGAGGCTGCCTTCTTAGCCAAAACCCAGCGCTCCTTTTTAGGAAACTGAAAAGGAAAAACAAAATGGGAATCTTATTATTATTATTTTTGGGCAGATGCTAGCTCAGTTCTTTTCATCTAATATCCTCTCTTAGCTGCATGTGTATTTATTTATAATTACGACCCTGGTGGACTGCAGCCTCCACCTTCGTTGAGAATGAATGTGTGACAGATCAGAACTGGGTCCATGTTGACAACTTGTTCTCCAAACCCAGGCTGTTCCCTGCTCCCTCGCTGGAAAGCCCCACCACAGAGGAGTCAAGCCAGGGGTTTAGGAGCTCCACGGGCAGAGGCTGCTGTGAGGGTGGAGCCCAAGCTGCTGCACCATCTGGGCTGTTTTAATTTAACTCTATTTAATTTGTTTTCAAAATTAAAAGTCAAATATGGTTTTTAACAGTTGTAATCCTCTTCAGCCTTGCCTTATTTTAGTCTCGTTTATTAATTTAACCATCCAACAAATATTTGCCAGATGCCTGCTATGAATAGACATTCTTCTAGGAGCCAGCACACAGCAGTCTTCATGGGGCTGACCCACCAAACTCAGGAGACAGACAATGGCACTCCTGTAGCATTTCAGGTGTGAGGTGCTGGAAGAAGAGCAGAGTTTCTGGGGAAGGTGGGGGGGTAGCAGTGGGATGGGCTGAAGTTCCATAAAGCATGGAAAGAAAGGTCTCCCTCATTCGGGGACCTTGAACAGAACAGCAGCATGCCAGCATGCAGCTGACGCAGACAATCCTGATAAGAAAGAAATGTCCCCAACTGCATGCAGAGTTCTTCTCATGCCTATAGCTCATGACTGGGGCAAGAGTAATGTGAATGCCACTGACTGGGCCAGGGAGGGGTGTGGGGTGGCATGGGAGATGTGGTTGGCAAGTCAGAAGGAAAGCCGAGAATCAGTTGGCCTCTGAAACCAGGCTAAAGCTTCTGGTTTCTACTCCAAGTGAAAATAGGAGCCACTGAGGGAACTGACTCTGCTTCCTGTGCTGAGGACAATGGGCCAAGGCAGGGGACTGGGGAGGCAGCCCCTGCAATAAACCAGGTACAGGATGACGGTGGATGGGATGAGAGCGCAAGCTCTGGAGCAGAGAAGTGGCCGCACTCCGAGCATGCTCACAAAGGGTTGGGTGTGCAATGAAAAGACAGGAGCCCAGACTGTTGATACAGGACAAGTGCAGGAGAGGTCACCTGAGGGAAAGTGGAGTTCTGCTTCTGACCTCATCGTGCACATGCAACAGCTAGTGAGGGTCATCTGTCTGTGTACCCACAGTGAGGATGGGAACAGACACTGGACACTGGGGAGTGTTGGTGTCAAGATCCCACAGGTGTGCCCCCACACAGTGAGTAGACACAAGAAAGGATGAGTGAGCAGAGTCTCAGGGCGCTTGGATGCTGGTAAAGGAGAGGTACTCTGGAGGGATGGAGATGGGGGTACATGGTACACAGGATCTGGATAAACTAGTCAACTCTGGAGAACTAAGGTCAGCCGACATATGCTGGGGAAGTAGAGAAGAGGGTTGCTACAGAAAGACCTTATCTTAGCCGGGCGGTGGTGGTGCACGTCTTTAATCCCAGCACTCGGGAGGCAGAGGCAGGCGGATCTCTGTGAGTTCAAGGCCAGCCTGGTCTCCAAAGCGAGTTCCAGGAAAGGTGCAAAGCTACACAGAGAAACCCTGTCTCGAAAAAGAAAAAAAAAGAAAGACCTTATCTTGACAAGTCCAATACATACCTGATCGTGTATGCATAAAACTGTAACTCAGAATTCTTCACTCCCTTACAGAAGGATGCTACGGAAGATTCCTTTCTATTCGGATTGCCTGTCACACAGCCCTGCTTAACACAGCTTTGTAGAAGCCTGCTCTTACGTAATGTAAGACAAAGTGACACTGTGACACGGCTCTCTGGCGCTGGCTCTCCTCGAGCAGCCCTGGACTCGTCTGCATCCTAGCTGGATGCGTGATGTCCCCAGACATCACAGAAAGAACTGGCGAGGGTGGGTAAAATTGGGGCTTGGTCAGTCTTGCTCTTCAGGCACCGTCCGCAACCTGCACTTTAAAAAGCCTCCTTTGACGGGCCAGCAAGATGGCTCAGTGGGTAAAGATACTCGCCCGCAACCCTGACAATCTGAGTTTGTTCCCCAGGACCCACAAGGAGGTTACCCTCCGACCATTCGTACTGTGTGGCACACACACCTAATACACACACACACACACACACACACACATATACACACACACACACCAAATAATTATCACATAATTTTATTTTAAAACTTTAAAACAAATAAAGGGCTTTAAAAATAAAGCTTCCTGTGAGTTGGGCACAGGAAGCAACTCTATGATCTCAGAGTGCTTGGGAAGCTAAGGCAGGAGAACTGAAAGTTCAAGGCCAGCCTGGGCTACATAACATGACCCCACCTAAAAAAGAGAGAGAGTGGGAAAGAGAAAAAGACTCAGTTTCTCAGACCCAGTGGGACATGGGCCGTGCCCCCACGACCACCCACAAGTAAGTCAATGGGCTCTTAGCTCACTGGCTGCACACCAGGCCTCACGTCTTGACTTCAGCACAAACCCTATGCTCTGCCACACCCAGGGAGCCAGCCTGCCAGCCTGTGAACCTCCCGTTAGCCATCTTCACTGGGCTTCTCTATGGACACCGTGCTCATAGATGTGTGTGGTTGGATTTATTGGATTTTCACTATTATTGAAAGTAACCAGCTTGGAGAAGTACATTATCAGATATAATTTATGAAGAAAGACTATCTCCTATAGCTAACTTATATAGTGTGGTTTTGGCTTTCTAGAATGTTCTTAGGCCACCAGCATGAGAATGGACTGCTCTTAATGCAATGACATTTCAAGGAAAATTGTAGTCAGGAAAGTCAGTGGTAAGAAGTCAGGGGCATGTGCCATCTACCAGCTGGGTACCATCAGTGTCTGGATCCTTATGGGTCACCTTCTCCTATGGCTTAGAGTGGCACAAACAAGCTGGAGACATCCACAGAGAAGATTTGCTTCAAATCTCTTGATTTATTGCAGTTTAGGGTGGCAAACCCAAACCAAGCCATTGCACCTGATCCCTAGAACAAGAGCCTTCCATCTGGACTGAGCTGACATGACAGAGGGCGGGCTGCCTTCCCTCCTCCCTGCTGTCAGGAAGGGGAAGGAGAGTGCTCAAAGAATCAGCTGAGCTGGAGACGAGGCCTATGCTAGACCTGTGGCCTTATAGCTAACCCCAAATTCTTCTGTGGGGCCGGGGGCAGCTGCCCAGTGCCACTCAGCTGAGCCTTCTGCCACTCCCTTCCAGAGAGCATGGATATGAGGTGGCTTCTGCTAAAATCCCCAGCTCCTCACCTGGTGAGGCTGTTCCTCCCTGAGGATGCTCCTCCTCACTCAGGACAATAGCAAATGCTCTCTTAGGATGATCAGTACTGAACATGTCTATTTCTCCTAAGCTCAGCTTATCCACTGATTAAATGTCATGGGACAGAATGAAAAGGGAAAGATGGATGTCTCTTCCAGAACCCCAGAACTAGCTGGAGGAAAGTCTGAAAATAAAATCAAGTTGACTCAAGTAAGACAGGCTTCCCCTTTGCTCTACAAACAGTGGCAAAGCCACAAAGTCAGCAGCACAAAGCAGCTCTCTGGGATGTGGCCACGCCTTGCCAGGAATGTTCAGTAAGCCTACCTGTATCCTGCAGGCTGGCCTGGTGAGGCTTTCGCTTCCAGAAGAGGGCAGTACCCACCCAGCTTCAGCACCTTCTTTGAAGGTGCTACAACTACATACTCCATCCTCGGAGACAGCTCTATGGCCTCCCCTGAAAGATCAGGGGAGCAGAAAGGGACCCAACCACAAAACCAGGAGAGAAGCCATCTCATTTTGAGGGTATCCCAGACAGCACTACCCCATCTTCTCTTCAGTCCCCTCAGGTTTAGGATTTTGGACTGAGTTGACGATAGTCCTTCGCTCCCGGAGGTTGCTAGTTATGAAGGCTGTCCTGCAGGGGAGGAGGCAAGGAAGCTGCCAGCCACAGCAGGAAGGCTGGGACTGCTGCTCAGTTAACATACTGGTTCCTGCCCAGGTACGGGGTATCAGTAGACTGTACCACGGAGCCTGCCATTGTCTCCTCGAAAATGATGACCTGTGGGAAACAAGGGCTGGGCTGTGAGGTCTACCCTGTAGACAGATGAGAGCACTATGAGACAGCAGGACTGGAAGGAAGGAAGGAAGGATGTGGGAAGGAGGGTGGAAGGAGGCAGTGAGGGGTGAGTGCATCCTCCATCACCAAGGAAAGGGGAAGAAGAGGCTGGCTGCAACACCCACCCTCTCCTACTCCCTGGCCAAGCATTTCAGGGGTAGAGAAGCAACTTGCTAGCAGGGAGAACAGGGATGGGAAGAGAGTTCCAAGGAAAAGGGATGGAGCCTTGAACCATTCCCACCTTGTTGAGTCCTTTGTCCAGCCAGACACCTGGGAGGTAGAGAGTCTCTTGAGGTCCTATGTTCCAGTAGCGTCCAAGGTTTTTATCGTTGACGAATACAACCCCCTTCACCCAGCCCTTGAAATAAAACAGGGAAGGTCTTGCTTTACTACAAGAGGCACAAAGGTAAAGTCACACCAGAAACAGATACAGTGAGATGCAGACAATGTTCCTGAGGGACCACAGTGAACCAACATTTGACACCCACGTAGGGCAACTCAGCGCACTGCGGTGAGCCTCCCAGTCAGGGTGGTCAACCTCAGACTGTCCATAGGAACCCACACACTGACAAGTACCACAGGTGGTTCTGCTCTGAGCCCACTCCTCTGCCACAAAGAAGTTGCAGGGTTCCTATCATATGGGGCAACATAGAAAGACAAGGAGGCCATTCAAGCCAACTGGGCTCAGAGCCCCAAGAAAATGGGAGAGCAGGAAAGGAAAGGGGTCCTACGAACCTCTAGCTTCAGAAATGTGTCAGAGGGGTAAATGCCAACTGACAAGGCACCCAGGAAGAAAGCAGGAAAGGTGGGTTCTTTGGGAATCAGACTCCACTTGTCCGCGATGAACCTAAAGACAGGATGTAAGCAGGAAAAGGAGGAAAGGACCATCTCACATCTGCTCCCAGACCTGCATCTAATTCCTATGGCATATCCCTTCCCCCAGCAAGGCTGGAAGCCACACACAGCCCAACCAGGTCACAGAATGGCAGCAAGATAGAAAGATGGGCATTTCCCAGTCTGGAACATGGTCCAGTGCTGTTCCTATCCGTCACCTTAGAGGTAGGTTGCTTTGGCCTCTGGGTCTGTTTATAACTCTGCAGGATCCTGGCAGGGAGGCCAGGGTACTCCTGGCTCTTGGTACATATTAGCTATGACCTCATATACCAGACTCACAGGGACCCACCTCTGAAAGAACTTCTTTGTCATATCCAGGCTGTAGATTCTGAAGTTTTTCAGAGGATTATTATTCAGATAGAGATTTCCAATTAAACCTGGAGGAAAGGGGCAAAGAAAGATGAGCAAGCCCCAAATCAGGAGACAGGTGGCAGAGCTGCGGCCAAGGCTGTGGAGACGCTCCAGGAAAAACGAAGCAAGGATTTTCCCAAAGCATACGCTGCCTAAGGTATTTTGCTCTTGGACTTAAGCCTCCCTTGAGATGTCAAAAAAGTGGCAATAAACAAAAGCACCGCTTGCCAAGCCCTAGGATTTGTCATAAAGCGCACACAGTGCATCTGAGGACAGTGACAAAGCTGAGGTGTCTGTGTGTAACAGCTAGCTTCTGGCCTCTTTCGGTGGGGCGGTGGGGCGGTGTGGCTCAGTGGTGACAGAGAGCCTAAACTTGGTGGTATCGTGAGGGTCACCGACTAAGAGACCTGGTCACTCGGCCAGAAACTCTCCACACAACCTAAGGTTAGACAGATGATAACATCACGACGGTGTCCAGCAGTAAGCAGCTGCATACCTGAACAGTGGCTGCCCAGCACCTTAAAGGTGAAGACAGTTGGTCCTGGAGCAGCCTCCATGGCAGGGACAAGTGTGTGAGAGCATGTATTTCTGGAGGGAAGGCCTGCGGACTGCAAACACTGAACTGGCCAAGAGGGCAGAGTCTACAGATGGTCAGGGCACACTCAATCAAGATTCTGGGAAATAAAGACTGACAATCTGACAGGTCTTTCTAACTCCAGAACAACGAGGTAAGATGGGTCCAAAGAAGGAAGATTAAGGAAGGCGCTCAGGCCTGTGGAGAAGTCCTGGAGAACTGCTGAGGGTCTAGGATGGCGGCCTAGATGGTGCTACTTTGTTATGTGGCACTACAAGGATGCTGCCAGATGGTGCTATAGTAACTAACTTGAGGCTCTTCTGCAGAGGGAAGCCCCAAGGGCTGAGGCCACATTACTTTCTGGGCATGTGCCGGAGGCTTTCAGCTGACATCCTGGCCAGGAAAGAGAGGTGAATGCTCCCTCCACCACAAATGCAGAGGAAGGAAAGAGAAAGGGGATGTCATCAACCTCCTCAGCATAGGAAGATCTTATTTTAACTTAGTTCCCTTCTTAGACTGCTCTGCAAACTACCCACATATAAGCAGACATGGAAAAGAAAGGGACTACAGTCTAACGATTCAGAAAGCCAGGGGTATGGGCAAGTGTCCTGGAGGGTGCTCCTGGAGGGTCATAACAACAAACTGCAGTCTGCTCAGTGCATGTCTGGCCTCCTCCTGAGCCCAGAGCACTGCCTATGAGTTTTCCCGAGAGAGATGAAGAATGGAATTTCAGTGTGAAGGCCCAAGAAGGCGTGCATTCTATTCTTCCACAGACTCCAGGAGACTCCCTTTTCTTGCTCCTTACCCACAACCCTGCAAGCAGAGAGGCCCACCCCCACCAAAGTAGAGTTCGGTATAAAGATTGAGAGGCCAACTCAGGGCTTACGGAGGCTCTTCCAGGGGCACACGAACTATACAGTTATGAAGCACTAAAGGGAAAGTGGCCAAACCCTCCTGACCCATTAACTAGGACTTATATGCAGGTAAACCAGGCACCATCCCCCTTCAATAAACCTCCATGATCCACCTGTCTTGCTGTGGGGTCCACAGTCCACCTCCCTGCAACAGGCCTCCATAAACCACCTGCCTGAAAGGGTCCCCAGTGGCCTGTCGATGTACCCGATGGCAAACAGATAAACAAGCCTGAAGAGTGATGCAGCTCTTCTCCTGGTCTATCCGAGGACCCACCTTTGCGCTGAGTGTCAATATTATTCCCGTAGTTGACTCGCCCACGATTTTCCACCAAGATCCTCAGCATGGTGTAACCCTGTCAGGAACACAGTGGCCAGTTATCATTGCCTGACAATCCAGCTACACCTGGGGATCTCTGTGTTCCCCAGGCCTTCTCTGTGCTCTGAGAATGGGACCCAAAAGGTCAGAAAGCTAGGTGTGCCCTTCTCTTTCCAGCTTTTAATTATGGAGCCTCCTGGCTTCCTGATCTCCCTCTTTGACTCCTATCCAGTTTCCTAGCCATCACCCAGCTCCCTAGGATAACAAACCTGGGTCAAGGGGATAGTAATCTTCGTTGTTTTATAGTCCAAGAATCCTATGGATACTCTGTTCAAAAAGACCTGCCAAAGTGAGCAGATGAAAATCATGGTCAATGGGAGGAAGATAACAGGGGCCTCTGCTAAACAATAAAACAAGGATCATTGTGGGGCCTTATGAAGGTGCTGGGCAGGTATGGAGGAAAGTGCGCACCACAGCTATGAGGGAAAGACTATGCAATCTCCAGCGAGTGCAGACAGCCGATTTTACACACTGGCAACCGCTGGCTGTGAGGCAGAGAACAAGGTATGTACTGCCATGCCTTGTCACTACAAAGTCCTGGGAGTACAGAGGAGATGCTCCTACCTGTCCCCTGTCACGCACAAGGCCACTGAGGACGCCAGATGAAAAGATGGTGGTCTCATACAGAACGTACCCAAAGGCCTGCCCGTTTCCATTGTTTACTGGCAGGTTCTCCATGTTGACAGGAATCTCAGACTTGAATGGCTACATAAGAAGACACAAGAAAGCACAGGAGCCAGGCTGCTCCTAACTCTAAGACTTCACATGAGCAGCAAAAGACAGGACGCAAGGTTTCTCCAGCCTCTTTTTCCTATCCCACCTTCTTACGAGCTTAAACTTACGGCCCATTAGAGTCACAGAAATAAGGTCAACAGGAAAAAGGAGATTTCACTAGAGTCCTACAATCTACTGGAATCCTTAAGCCACTATCATGATGGCATCACAAAAGAATGAATGACAGCAGGTACCCTCTCTCCTCTCCACAGGGGAAGGATCATCCCTTCCTCCTCTCCTCACTCCAGACCTGCCCCTGAGGCTAAAGGAGGGGGCACCAAGTTCAAGCTCTTCTATTCCTCCTTCCCAATTCCCACTCCAGCACCACTGTACTCTCTTCACTCAGCTCTCTGGTTCCCAGAACCCCATTTGGAAAGTTCCTGGGTCCTGTCTGCTTGGCAACTATCCCTGACGCCCAGCCTGCAGCACTTACTTCATCCATCAGCAGGATAGCATCCCACAGTGAGAGGTAGAAAGATGGCCTCATTGGCTCATAGGTCATCTTAAGAATGAGCTCGGGTGGAGGAGGTGGAGGGATACCTGCAACAGGAACCATGGCCCTCCCTTAAAGACTACATCGTCACTGCCTCCTGCAGCCTCACACCCACAGTCCATGTCCTCCTTCCATCCAGACACCAATATCAACCACAGGCCCCATTCAGTGCTGGGACTACTCTAGAACATGAGGCGTGGGCCAGGGCAGGGATTCCTCATGTCTTCTATATGTCATAAAGAGGCTTCAGATGAGTCAAATACAAGAGGCACAGCATGATGAAAATAGTCTCTCAAGCTTTCTGTGTCTAGAATGTTTGTTTGGTTTTGGCAGTGCTCAGGGTGGAACACAGGGCCTTATGCATTCTGGGCAAGAGTTCTACCACTGGGCTACATTCCTAGTAGTCTAGAACATTCTTGAATATGGATCAGCTGGAGTTGAGGCAGGAGAGCAAGACAGCAGAAACTCTAAGGTCTCGTGGCAAAAGCATGTCCCCAAGTGGATATTTGAATCTGCTGCCTGTTTGTACCTGAGATGGTTCCAAAGAGCTGTCGAAGCTTGGTGTATTTGGCAGTATAATCTCCAGCCTCTGTCAGTATGGCATCATAGTCTGCAAGACACCCAGGGACCTTTCACAGTCTCTCCTGGCCCCAGAACAGTGCAAAGGGATGAAGAAGAAAAGAAAGAAGAAAGGAGGGGAACAGAGTCCTCAAACCAGTAATTATGGATAAAAATACCTTTATTGTGAATCATTCAGTCAAAATATGGTAGGTACTAAATACTACAAAAGTACCCAGGAGCACAGCATGATCCTAAATTTTTACTGTAAGTGGATACAACGGAGCATCTCCTCTGCTCCTGGTGAACTCAGTCAGAAGGAGGCAGGCCAAGATCACACCTTCTCAAGGGTCTGAGAAGGAGGAAGGCTATCTCCATCCCTGTCACTCTAGATTTGCCTCCCTCCCCTGGTCCTCGAAAGAGATCCCTCAACAGAGCAAGCCGTTCACCGGCACCTACTGCCCTAGACGTTTCGAGGTGACAGTCACACAAAGCCTATACCCTCCCTGGACATTATACAGCCAAAGACACGAAAGGAGCTGGAAACTGTCTCTAAAGGACTCTCCATCAACAGCACCAGCCCTACACTGGGAAGGAACAGGGAGAACCAGCGGGGATACTTGCCATAGCTGGTGACATCAGCCTTGTAGTCATTAAAATGCATAGCTCCGTTTATGAAGCCAAAATTTGTGCCTCCGTGGAACATGTACAAGTTGATGGAGGAGCCGGCTTTGGTGATAGCAGACACTGTTTGCAAGACCTCTTCAAGGAGAGCAAGGAGGAGCGATGTTTAGAATGAATCAGAGCGTAAGGGAAGCCCCAGTGAGGCCTCTTGGTTCCCTCACATCCCAATCCCTACCATTTCATCACTGGGTCATTCAGCTTTCCCTGGACAATCTGTAGCCAATAGGCTGTTTCTACACTACCAGCTGGCATGTTACCCAGTGGCTGCTCTCCGAAATGCAAAATAGGTGGGACCCCATTACACAATAGTCCTGCCTATATCCCAAAGTCCTCCCTTAACTAGGAAATGAGTCAATGATATGCAAAGAGAGTATTGGACAACAAAATAAAAGATCAATTAATATATATTTATATGATATATCCAGTAAATGCAAACTCAATACTGACCTAGTGAACTGGCAAATTTTTAAAAAATCATTTTAATACTCAGTACTGACTGATGAATCTGTAGGAAATGGGTACTTTCATTTAATAATGGCCAGTAGGCTGCTTTATGAAGGGCAGTGGTAAATACATATATTAAAACTGCACTGATGTAGCAATTTATTCTTTATTATATGGACATATGTGCCAAGTGTACAAAACTAGATGTTCAAGGATGCTCACTTAAGTAGTGTTCAATTAACCAAACCCAAAACTAAGCAGTAAGGAACTGGGTCACTCAATAGTGGTTTAGTCATCAATACAAAGGGGCTCTTCAAATCCTTTAAGACAGTGATGCCCAATTACTCCAAGTATTCCTATGTTCAGCAGTATAGGGTGGTGTGTGTGTGTGTGTGTGTGTGTGTGTGTGTGTGTGTGTGTGTGTGAAGACATGATCAATCCATCTACAGCTCCATCTGTCTATACATAGATGCAGCTACACTCTGAGCTGCCCGCACTGTTAAATACATCAAAATGCTTGATCTGGACTCGAGGACTTTATTTCTTCTTTAAACTTCCCTACATTTCTTAGATATCTGCAAACAAGCATGTTACTTTTCTAATCACAAAATCACAGAAAAGGAATGACAAAAGCCCTACTGATATTTCAAGTCAAGACTCTGAAATACCAAGAGTTGAGTATGAACACAAATTATCTCAGGAACCTAGCATCCTACAACTCCATACACAAGGTCGGGGAATGTAAAACATTCTTACTCAGGGTAAACATACATATTAGATGTAGGCAAAATAAAACACTCACCAGAGGAATCCAAGATATTGTGGGGGCCACCCCATGAGTCAAACCACCCTGTCCAGTACTCCATCACCATCTTCGGTTGAATCCCCTGGGTACCACAAAATGAGAATTAGGCAGACTGTCTAATCAAAAGGGGAAGAGGGGCACCCTTCTCGGAAGGAACCCCAGTACCTCTGTCCTCCCTGGGCATGTACCCTTTGCCTGAGAGACTTGTAGGTGCACAGCATGGATGAAGATTATTCGCCTCACCACCTGCGGGTATGTGGAAGAGGCTACCAGAGTTGGTGTTTAATGTGCTTTTGAGGATGCATATGATGGGTGCTAGCAAGAAGACACAGTATATGCTCAAACTAAGACTTCATCAGAATTTGCCAACTGCCTTGGATGCCCTTTCCAACACTGGTTGGATTTCATTCTGGCTCAAGACAACATTCGCCTATCCTGTACCAGGGAAGAAGAATGTCCTATTCTGAATGAGTACACCCGAGAGTCACATCACAGATGCAGCCACACCAAAATTGCTGCTTCCCCATATCTGGATGTCAGAGGCTTCAGAATGGGTCTTCTTTAAGTTCTGACTTAAACAACAGTTTCTAAAACTAAACCAGAGGACCAGGTCCTGACAGAGCAGCTACTCACGGTGCAAGCTGTACGGCTGCACTCTGGATTCAGACCTTCCCGAAGATACTGAACAAGTCTTAATTGTCACTTCAGAACACTAGAGTGACATTGGCTTCCTCTGTGCATACAGAAGTCATCTGGGGACTATGCTCAGCTCCACCGTGTTTGCCAAAGCTGAAAACACTTGGGTAGGTATGAAAGACTCATTGGCTAAGATTTTATGCTCTGGGCCAGGAAGCATTCCTCTTTTATTCAGTGACAGCTGATTAAGTATCCTCTCTCAGGACTGGCCTGACATTTGAAACTGCATAAAGCAACAGAGCATGTTTCAGAGAGATGGGGATATACTTAATAGCCCACGGCATAGAAGGTACCAATTGTCTCTGGGTAAAAGCCAACATAGCCACAAGATTTTTTTAGCAAGGTGGTAGCTTTGTTTTTCTTTACAAACTATCTACATCCCAAGATAGGCCATACTATGCACACATTTAAGTCACCCCAAAAGGAGAGCCAGAGTGGAAGTCCTAAATCCCAACAACCTCCAGTGCCAACGGTGGGTTTGTTTGCTTAAGTCCTTCTGTGGTGTAGGGAGGGAGGAATGTCTAGCATGGACCAAGCTATCTCACTGCAGAATGTGGTGCAACCAACCCCAAACTGACCATCTTCTGGGTGCTTTATCCATTTTCTGTCTGTTCGCTTGACCATGGATAGCTGTAACAGTAACAGTAGCTAGCACCCATGCTCACTAGGAGAATTAGGTGAAATGATGCATAGAAATCTCTGGTATACAGGAAGTACTCAAAAATCTCTAGCATGAGTTATCTCCTCACTGAGCACACACGTGAGGACTAATGAACACCCCAAAGTTAACCAGTGCTGGGGTCCAGAGTGTCCATTCAATGAAGCCCGTGAGACAGAACCACTCATTTAAGTAAGGGCAGATGTCAGGGACTATACAAGAGTCCTTCAGCAGTGCCATTCTGCTGATGGGACAGCCACAGCACTGACATGGCAAGTTTTCCAGGGACCAGCACAGACACTCCTTCCATCACAGCACCATGAGGTACTTTTCAAATAGTACCTTATTCAAGTCATTCTCATTAAACCTACTCAACTAAAAGAAACAGAGAAACAAAGAGGAGCCAAACAGTGTGTCCCGAGTCCCACAACACAGTGGGATCCTAAGCAGCACCCAGCATCTGCACTTCCCTTGGCAGCCCTCAACTGCAGCTCTGCCTAGCCACTTTGAGACACTAGCTCACGGGTCTCTCTCCCCAGGTAGATGACAGACCCCACAAGGACAGAGGCCCTACAATCAGCCATGAAGTAAGACAGACCCGGCACCTCTACAGACAGAGAGGAAGATCCGGGACATACTGGGAGAAAGAAGATGAGAAGAAGGGGTTCCACTTGAACCCAAACGTGTACATGCATTATCCCTCCCCTCTGTGAAGTCTACCAGCGATCAGGCCTGCCCTCCTCCTAAGAGCCTTCCCACCTCTTCTGGCCACCATCAACACCACAGGAATAGTCACACCATACATACATACTCACCTTACAAGGTACTTCCTACTTGTCATTATTACTTCATATGAGTGTACCTGAGGATACTGTCCCTACTCTGAAAGGTCAACAGCTGGAACAAACATCTACTCAGTGGACCACAAGTCTGCCCACACCATTGGCCCAGTATCCCCACAGGCATCTATCCATTGTCCATACATCAGTTTCACACTAGGACCATGGTGGAGATGTAATTGGTGGGGGCAAGTTGGGGCATTCACCCCCTTTGATAATCAGGCTGGCATGCGCTTTCTGTGCTTCACATGGGATAGAGCTTGGCCCCACTCACATCTGTCTGTTTAGGAGAGACACACAAACTAGAGACATCAACTAGAATGGGGCTGTGTGTGACCATCAATGGGAAGAACCTGAACCACACCCAGAAACTCTCTCTTTCCCAACTTGGAATCAACCAGGCCTCCTGCCCTATGGATAACAGAAACATTCCCCGTGCCAACGAGGCCCTAAAAGTTAAGGTAGGATACCTTCCATGGTATGGGACAAAGAAGTGTCTTTTCTCTCTCGATCTCCCAAAGCAAGGCTGGGTCTCGCAGAGTCCATAAAAAGCCAAAAGTGTCAAAAGGTGCTTTTCTCAACAGAACACAGCACATTTGGATGGCGTCAGTCTACACAGCAAAACTTTAGAGCAGGACTTCTAAGCTGCCTCCCTCCCAGCCGTGAAGCAATGTGGCATGAGCCAAGAGGCTGGGAGAGCTGAGAGTCCTCCCCCATCACAGAACTCTGGGCAGAGTGCAGGCATGTGGAATCCTCGCACTCAAGCTAGAAGATCCACAGCACCCCTTGGGCCAGACCTACCTGGATAGATATGAGAGCACTGTTTAGTTCCTTCAGCTCCTGTTGTGACTGTAAGTTGATGGTGGCCAGCACTACGAAGGCAGCAGAGAAGGGAAAACAAAGCACAGTCTTGAAGTCACAAAGACTTCCTGAATTACCCAAATCTTCAATCCACCGGCATAAAAAAAAAATAACTAGTATAGACATTGTTTCCCACCTCCCATTAGAAGTTAGCTCCTGTGATGTCAAAAGACTGGCCTATATTGTTATTTCTGGAAAGTCCACTGCTCGATACAGAGCAGAGCCACACACTCTGCATCTGATTTTGACTGACTGTAATGTCTGCAAGCAGAGGAAAGGCTTCTCTGAACTACTGACATAGGAACCAGAGCCTGAGCTCAACACTGTACTCCGAGGGCAATGGTAAAGCCTTTGTACACCGTGGGTAATGATCTCAATGAAAACTCATGTCTCATTTCTTGATAAGACTTCAGTCTACTCTATTCCACAATGTGCTTATTTTAAAATTTTAACCGGAATTTTATACAGCTTTCCATAAGCGAAATGCATGCTCAAGAAAAATGCTACGGCTGGCTGGTGGCCATGACCTTGCCACAGTCACAGCCAGCTGTAGAACTTAACTCCAAGGACCCTTACCTGACTGTCCACTTGAATGGCCAGTTGCAGATAAATGGGCTTAGGAGTGACTAAGACAGGCTGGCCAGCCCCAGCTACCATCCAGGGTATCAGGCCATGGTAACGAGTGAAGGAGATAAAGCTAAGACTCTGAAGATATAAAAACTTCCCTCACGGTCCACAATCTGTGAGCAGCAGAGTAGGGCTGCAGACTCAGGACCCTTCACACCAAGACATTATGCTGTGATGTCACTGTCCTCTAGTAACCCACAGGGGAAGATCCTCCAACTAGAACCCTCCCTGCCTAAAGTTAACCACGCCTTTCGGGAAGCCTGTTTAACTGTGAAATCTCAAAGTCAGCCAATGCACAGGGCTAGCTGAACACACACAGCCAGGCCGTGTCATCCTGAGGCTTCGTCAAATTCAAGAAAGGGGAGAGACAACGGCTGCGAGGAGTGAGAGCGCAGAAGGGGTGTGAGCGCAGAAGGGGTGTGAGCACACAAGGGGTGTGAGCACAGAAGGGGTGTGAGCACACAAGGGGTGTGAGCGCACAAGGGGTGTGAGCGCACAAGGGGTGTGAGCACACAAGGGGTGTGAGCACACAAGGGGTGTGAGCGCAGAAGGGGTGTGAGCACACAAGGGGTGTGAGCACACAAGGGGTGTGAGCGCACAAGGGGTGTGAGTGCAGAAGGGGTGTGAACGCAGAAGGGGTGTGAGCACACAAGGGGTGTGAGCACACAAGGGGTATGAGCGCAGAAGGGGTGTGAGCGCAGAAGGGGTGTGAGCGCAGAAGGGGTGTGAGCACAGAAGGGGTGTGAGCACAGAAGGGGTGTGAGCACACAAGGGGTGTGAGCACAGAAGGGGTGTGAGCACACAAGGGGTGTGAGTGCAGAAGGGGTGTGAGCGCAGAAAGGGTGTGAGCACACAAGGGGTGTGAGCACACAAGGGATGTGAGCACAGGCCAAGTGCCCAGGAGAGCCTGGGAAAGTGACAACCCTGGAGGGACAGCAGGGGCCTGGGAGGGGGCTTTGTCCCAAAGTCCTTCCTCCACTTTGAGCACCACGAGGGGACCCTCTCCATCCACAGGCGTCCCCCCACCCCTGGTGTCAAGTCCTTTGCGCCACTGTCCATCCCTTCAGGGGGTTCACACACTCTAGAAAACAAGTCCCTGGGAGTCTGAGGGTGAGGAGTGGAAGGAAGGCAGACCGGAGGGGATTCCTGGGCAAGGGCCTCCTAACATTCCTTGCATTTGTTCCTCAAATAGCTGTTCAAGAAGCCAGAGGCGGCTTCCATGGTGGCTTAAAAATGGTGTCTCCTGATATTCACAGTCCCCATGGCACCATTTACCCCCACAGGGAAAGGCTCCTGCTCACTTCTTTTACCCGTCTTAAGAGCTTCATCTCCCCTCAAAAACTGGGCATAAGAGTAACAGAAAGTCAGGGCACGCAGAACTAAGAAGAGGAACAAATAAGATGTTTACAACCAAGGGAGGCACAGGATGGGAGCTAAGGAGATCTCTGATAAGACATTTTCTAGGAGAGCTGGGGAGTAATAAGGCTGGGGACAAAAGTAAGGATGGGCCCCCTGTGCACGACGTGCTTGTAATCCCGTTACCTCATCACTCAGGAGGCCAGGGCAGAAGGATCACGAGTTGGAGGACAGCCTGAACTACAAAGTCAAAAAAGAGAAGGCAGGGGGGTGGAGAGAGAGGGGGACCTGAGATGAAAAGCAGAGCAAATGGGATCGTGACTCCACTGGAAGTGAGAACCGGGCACTCACTAGTCACCTGATCCACATGCTGCAGAGCAGCACCCCCACCCAGCACACCTGCAGCCACGAGGCTCCTCAGCACGGAAGCCGCACTCGCAAGGAATGGAAGGTGTGTGAGATCAAGGTAACCCCAGCCATCCACAGAAACAGGAGGACAGCTTCAGAACCCTAAGTCAGTAGACAAAGAGTCACGTGTGCAGGCTGTATAGACACAGGAAGGCGAGAGTTGAAAGAAAAAGATACAGTTTGAGATGGCTATTTCCGGGTAATGAGCTGAGGAGGAAAGTGTATTTCTTGATAAGTATTCTTTTTATTATTTTACTTATAGGCCATGTGAATGAATGCTTTAACTTTTTAAATTAAAAATCATCATTCCAGACAGCAGTAATCTGTGCCCAAGGGTTGGAGCCTGCAGGACAGGATGGGTGGGAATGGAGAGAGCATCTTCCAAAGCCTTTATAGACTGTCTCCTACCCCATGACCCCATCACATGGGCCTTGGTAGCAAACATGAGTAGACAGTGCCACCTTGTGGAACTAACAGGAATCACTACTGATCTTTGTCACAACCAAGGAAAATGTCTTTTCATTCCCTTTGCTTGCTGTAGATAAGAGCCTTTCCCTCTCCATCTACTCAGCAGTCATTCCCAGAAGCAACCGTGCCAGGTACTGTGGAAGGGATATCAAATTAAAAGTCACCATCTACAAACAGGTCAGTCTAGAGAAGGAAATACAAAGGGAACAGAATAGACGTGAGCAGGTGCTAAGGCAGAGAAGCACAGCACAGAGGCCCACAGAAGGAGTCACCATAACTGACAAGAGGGCTCTTCAACCTCTTGAGCATGAACCACTGATGAGCGCATGTTCAAGCACAGGCCATACGAGAGAGCCCCAGGCCCATAGAGCTCACTACGGCTGTGAGACAGAGGAGTAAGTTAAGCTGGCTACTCCAAAGGTTATAAGGCAAAATGACAGAGTGGGCTGAGTCTTGTGAAGGGGTGCATGGTCTAACAGGATGCTCAGGAAAAAAACTCACTGCAAAGACCACCTGGGAGGCAAGCCATGCAGATTCCCAAAAGGTGTGCAGAGCCGCTGAATCTAGAGGTGTTCTGTGTACTTGAGAAACACAGCGGGAGCCGGGAAGGTAGAACAGAGTGGGAAGGGGTACACACCTAGAGAGCAGCTCAGTCATGTGTGTGGCAACTGTGAGGCATGCTGCCAGGGTGCATTCAGGGTCATGTGCAGGGCTATGGAAGCAGGCAGTGGAGAAGGGCTGTGGGAGGGAAGCGTGGGGAGGGACATTCAGGGGTTGCTGGGTGGGGAGCCCATGCAGCTATTCTCAGAGATGTGCTTCTCTCTTTTTCTATGGCGCACTTGGAGCTCAAGCAGTATGACAAGATGATCTGAGCTGTATGCTTGTCTGTTAGAGAATAGGTAGTCTCGGAGATACGTGTAGTCTTGCCTGGCCTGGAACTCACTCTGTGGCCTGGAACTCACTCTGTAGCCCAGACTGGCTTCAAACTCATGACCCTCCTGCCTTCACTTCCCCAGGGCTGGGATTACAGAAGCGTGCCCAGGCCTGACTCCTAGGCTGCATTCTCAAAGGTGAGCACAAATTGCTGTATTAAGAGGAGCTGGCTGGAGGGACCAGGGAAGTACCGCGGCATTGCAGGTGTGGAGGGAGGCAACAGCTGAGGTGCTGAAACACATCTGAGTTCCGGATATATTTTGAAGAGAAGAGTAAAGATAAAAGGATGCACCAATGGGTCGGACAGGAGGAGAGGGCTGAGAATAACTGCAAGGTTTGATGCAACTGAGGGGAAATGGAGCTGCAATTTCCCGATAAAAGGGAACCTGCCAATGGTGGCAGCCACCTGTAGCACTGTGAGTGCCCTCTGTGCTCAGCAGGAACAGTGGCCAGATACAGCTGCCCAGGTACCTGGATGTTTGGAAGATCTGTGGTAAGGCATTTGCTAAAAAGAAGAGAAGGGGGCCATGGGAGGTGCCGTGGACCCTAGGCCCCCCGTGGCCCAGCGTGCCCAGCCCTGCGCTATGCACCACAGGCACTGGGGAAACTCCTGCTTTTATCTCGGACCATGGCCAGGGGACTGTGCAGAAGAGCCAAGCAGGCAGCCTCCTTCAGGTACCTCCATCCACCACTCCCTTTTGCAGGCCATCTTTGTTGTCTGAGGTCAGGAGCATCTCTATAATGCCACGGTCTTCCAAGGCCTGTTTGGGGAATGAAAGGCGAGTTAAACTCTGTCCTCGTCGTTCAGAACTCCTCGGGGTCACTGCTGAAGCTGAGGTAGCCCACAGAGCAAGAGAGAAACCTAGCCAAAGTGCTTCTCTGCATGTTGTCTATGCCTACAATATTCAGCAAAGTTCCAGTAAGTGTTTGGTTTCCAAGTATGTCGAAGGACCGGGCTGCTGAGCTCTGGCAGGCTTGCAGTTTGGGGACACACACAAGCTTACTCTGAGCCTGGCTCAGTGGGGCTAGATGCCATGCTATCACATGGTAACTGCCTGTGGAGCCCCAGAGGGTCGGGTCACCAGCACCACTATACTTTCCCCTTCGTCCATATCATGAACAAGAACCCTGTCTCTTCCCCACTCTGAGCCAGCATGAGCTTGGTTAGTGGCAGGGCCATGATGGCCCAGCCTATCTCAGTGGCATGCCTATGGTGTACTGTCCATGCTCAGCAGAACCAGAAGCCATCCGTGGAGGGCATCAATGAAACCACTGCTTGGGGAACAGTAGGATTCCTGCCACTCAGAATAACTGCTACCATCAGAACATTAGCACGATGCTAAGCACTTTCACTGTCTCCTTCGCTCTCCATAGCCAACATCTGAACAGCACAAAGTGTCATAGAGGCTGAATGAAGTAGGATCAGTTACACAGGTCATGCAAGAGGTGGGGCTGAACTCTATTCACACAGGCTCCACTCTGGAACTTTGGACTCAAACGGTCCTACAAAGATGATTTAAAAAGACAAAAGTACATTGCAACTGAATTCCTCTGAAAACAGAGGGATAACATCTAACCCTAATGTGAGATCCCCTGTTCTGTAACGACAGAATGGGCTCCAGCTCTCAGGGATGACAGGAGCTGGAGTATTTAACCCAGGAGGAATATTGGTGAGATGTCTATTAAAGGCCCTGGACCAACCTCCTTCAACTACCCAACTAGCTCTCACTGACACAGAATTCAGTAGCCTTCAATTTTACAGGTATTAATTCTTTGATCTTGCCCTTTAAAGGCCAATTATTATTTCCTAAATTCAGCCACTTACCAAGCACAGAGCTCACACCCTCTCGCAGAAGACTTAGGAAATGGCACTCTGGTGTCCATTTTGGACATGATGAGAGTAGGACTCAGAAAATTGAGGGGAGTCATGGCCAAGGTCATTCAATGCCAGTGGGATGCACATCTTTCCAACACCCCCAGGAGAAGTTGCATACAGTTCAGGGGAGAATCCTCCCAAGAGCTTCAAGCAGGCAGAGCTCTGGTCACCGGGGAAGCATGGCTGTACAGACAAGATTCCCTAAGGAGCTATTCTCTATTCCTGATGCTCCTCAGAGCTCTCCTCTTCAGCTGCATCATTGGTAAACAACTGCTGGAGATGTCCCAGTGCTCCAGGGAGTCTGACCGAGGACTACAGCAAGAGAAACTCTCGAGTCTATGCCCAGGACAGGCTTTTTTCTAGGCAACCCAAGACGAGGAAGTTAGATGTGTGCTCTGTCCAGGATGTGGACAAGCACTTACCTTGCCCCTTTCCAACCTGAGGAATACTACCCTTCCTAGACAGCCTATATCCTACTAAGAGCTGTCCTGGAGTAAGAAGGAAGGGGCAAGAAGTCAGACTAGAAATTGGAACACGAGCTCCAGTCTGTAGGAACAAAAGTAATTTCTAGGTAGAAAATTCAACTGGGGGTGATAGCAGTAGGTACACTGCCCAGACCATCTGAGCCAGAGCTATCGACCTCTAGTCAGACAGATCCAGGGAGTCTGTTTCTTATTTCCTCAGCTCCCACCATGGCCAGCCCTCCAGAGTGCACTGAAAGAAATGCCAATGACTCCATCAAAGGCACTATTGACAACTTTCTGTCTACCTAGAACAGTACCAGGCCACCTGATTTTACATAACACAAAACAGGCAAGCTCTCTTTTAGCCCCACTTTGTAGAAGATAAAAGGAAGCTTGGGAAGTTAGGCATTTGTTCAAAGTCTCAGCTACCAAGTGGAAGAAACCAGATTTGAATGCCTGGCCCTCTTCGCTGTTACCCCCGCCATCCTTCCCTGTCATGCATGTGAGTCGGCAGTTCTGGGCCGCCCCCTCACTCTACAGTCAGAGGCCTGAGCACCATCCCAGAGATCCTTAGGATGAGTGTGGTATGTAGCTGGTCAGGGACTTTTGTTTACATTTCCTCAATAAAATCTATGTACAACCCCAAATCTGGCTATATGCTAGGATGAGGGAGACATCCCACAAAGCTTTCATCACTTCCACTTAATTAAGGTAATTCCTTTGTTCTTAGCGCCTGTGACACTATAGGAGTACTAAAAATATCACATTAAGCTCAATCGATAAAGGGTAAGTGACAACTGTTGAAATGACCCGTGGAGAAAATGTCAGTGATCAAGAAGGTGGTGTTAGGAGGCATGGTGTATTAATTTCAGCAAAGTATTAGGGCAACACGTCACAGCCTGTAACGTATGTCAGGGGAACGAATGTAAAGAAATGAATGAAGGGACTCTTACCTTCTTGATGTAAGGCATGTATGCGCGGTCTTTGTTGTAGGAACCATACTCATTCTCCACTTGCACAGCAATGATGGGTCCCCCGTACTTATACTGGGGGAGAGAAATAAACAGAAGTTAAGTGTGTTGTGGGCACCATAATATCTAAATTGAAATCTTTCACAAATTACTAGTAGCACATTATACTGAGAACAAGACTCTCAATGGGCTTTGTGTGTAGTTGAGAACGACATCATCAGACATCAAAGCAAGGAGCACCAGGCCCATGTCCTCCCGTGGAAACACCAGTCAACCACAGTCAAAGACCTAAGCAAACAGGTGTCCTGACTGACCACCAGTCAAGAAACCAGTGCATGTGACAGAGAAAATCTGTCATGTCTGTACTCACCCTTGGCTCCAACCCTCCTATGGGTAGCATGGCCTGGTTAACAGAAAGGATCTCAAATTCCCACTCCCCTCCCCCAGAATGTACAAAATGAAACTTATTTGCAATATTCTGGTCTATCTGTCTAGTAGAATGGCTTCTATCTCAGATGACTTGGTTCTCAGACAGGACGTGTCAGCCCAGTTTGGACCCAGGCTGGAGGCTGAAGAAGCAGTGGCAGATGCTGCAGCCTGTCAACACTGTGGAAGACTATAAATGTGTGAGTGGCCAGAACAATGGAATTACAGGCCGAAGAATAGGACAAACATCTAAGAAGAAACTGGAGTAAGACCGTTTGGGGCACGGCAGCTTGTAAAGGAAATCAGGGTTTGGATGGAAGATGGAAGGCATGGATAGGATATATGTCCAGAAAATATAAGCGATTGTATATCTTCATCCTGGGCCGATTTTCTAAGTTCAAAACCCCATGGCTTAGTGAAGACCTTCCCTGACCATCTGCAGAGACGGGGAAAGGTAACTGTGTTTTCCATGCCTAATGTTCAGCCAAAAGCCTTGAGGGGCACACACACAATAAGGAAACATGGACGTAAGGAGCACAGTCCACTGTAAGAACACTTTACTAGATGTGCTGGCCCTGAGTTGGGTCCTCAGAGCCACAAAACAAAACAGGGTAAAGGGCGGGGCTTGAGTTGATGGAAAGGAGAAGGGGATAAGAGAGGATAACAGCAGGGCGTTGGTCAAAGAACATACACATATGTGATAAATATTTCATATATGAAACTGTAAAAGAATAAATAACTGGAAAAAATCTAAAAAGCACACACAGCAGATTTTCTAGACAAAATAGACAACAGATGAACTTGAAATGACTATTTGAAATTATCTACCTAAGGGAAAGAAAAGAAAAATAAATGAAAACTGTGAACAGGGCCATGAACTTAGGGAACACCATTAATCAGACCTGGTCCATAAAGGGAGTTCAGGACAGCCAGGACTGCACAAAGAAACCCTGCCAGAGCAGAAACTCTGGGGTTGTGATAGGGATTGCACATACCTGTAAATGTCTGGACCACACTGACTTAACAGCAGTGGTTCTTCCAATCCATGGACCCAGAACTGATTTCTTTGTTGGTATCTTCTTTACTTTCTTTTCGCATCCATTTGTAGTATTTTACTTCCTTAGTTAAATTTATCCTTATTTTATTCTTTTTGATGCTGTTTGCAATTGTTCATAAACCAAAAACACACATGACCTTACAAGTAGAAAATCACCAACAAGAGACACACAACAGTTTATGAACCAACTCAGCGAGCTTACATAACACAAAATCAACAAAAATAAAATCAGTTACATTTTCATACACAACCAATGAACAATTGCAAACAGCATCAAAAAAACTAAAATAAGGATAAATTTAACTAAGGAGGTAAAATACTACAAATGGATGCGAAAAGAAAGTAAAGAAGATACCAACAAAGAAATCAATTCTGGGTCCATGGATTGGAAGAACCACTGCTGTTAAGTCAGTGTGGTCCAGACATTTACAGGTATGTGCAATCCCTATCACAACCCCAGAGTTTTTGCTGAAATAGAAAATGACATTCCAAAATCCATCTGAACTCCAAACAATGCACAAAGGCAATAAATACAGAGATGTCACACTTCTGATTTCAGAACTCACTACAAAGCCAGTTATCAAAGCCATGTGATAGTGGCATGACGGCATTGTCTATGGAAATTATTTTTAATATTTATTGGCTTTTACATTTTCTTCATATATTTTAATCATATTCTTTCCCCTCCCCCAACTCCTCCTAGATCTTCCCCACTTCCCTGCCCACCCGATTCCACGTTCTTCTTCTCTCGCTCAATGAGGCCCTCTACATGTATATGACAGTTGTGTAGCTTGGTCTGTTTGTAAGGCTCCTAGCAGTGAGATCAGGACCTGTCCCTGGCGCTTAGCTGGCTTTTGGGAACCTGGTCCCCATGCTGGATTAACTCACCCAGCCCTGATGCAGGGGGAGGAGCTTGGTCCTACCTCAACTTGATGTGGCATGCTTTGTTCAAGCCCCTGGGAGACCTGCCCCTTTCTGAATGGAGACAGAGGAAGAGTGGATGGAGAAGGGGGTACATGGGAGTGAGGGGGTAGGGGAGAAGGATGGGAGTGAAGAGAGGAGGGAGGGGAAACTGTGGTCAGTATGTAAAATAAATGAAAAAAGATTAACAAAATAAAATAAAATTAAAAAAATCAAAACAAAGTAAAACAAACAAACACAAAGACAAAACATCCAGTGCATTTTGTGTTGTTCGACTATTCCTAAGATGGTGCCTGCCCTGGGGTGTGGTTGATAGACCCAGTGTCACTCCATTGGAGAAAACTGATTTTCCCTGTCCTGGAAATCCCAAGTAGTTCTCAGTGAGAGGTGAACTCTGTATCCATTTCCCCTTCTCCTTGCTGGAATTTTGTCTAGCTTGAACTTGTGCAAATCTTGTGCATGCTGCCACAGTTTCTGAGGTCCTGTGGACATCAGTCCTTCTGTGTGTGGAGTCATCCACTCTGTCAGATAAAGACATTTTCCCCACTCTGTAGGCAGCTGCTATGGTCAAATGATGGTGTCCTTTGCTATACAGAAGCCTTTTAGCTTCATGAGGACCCATTTATTAAGTGTTGCTCTTATGAGACCCCTATGCTATGGGTCCCATTAAGAAAGTCCTTTCCTGTGCCAATGAGTTCAAGTGAATGTTCTACATTCTCTTCTATCAGATCCAGGATATTAGGTTTTATATTGAGGTCTCTGATCCAGTTGGAGTTGAGTTTTGTTTAGGGTTGTATGGATCTATTTTCATTCTTCTACCTACAGCCACCCAGTTTGACCAGCACCATTGTTGAAGATGCTGTCTTTTCTCCAGTGTGGATTTTCTTTTGCTTCTTTGCCAAAAAGCAGGTATCCATAGGTGTGTAGAATTATGCCTGAACCTTCAACTCTATTCCACTGATCAACATGTCTATTTTAATGCCAACATCATGCTGGTTTTATTAGTATAGCTCTGTAATACAACCTGAAATCTGGGATAGTGGTACTTCCAACTTCTTTTATTATTCAGGACTGTTTTAGCTACCCTGGGTTTTTTGTGTTTCTATATGAAGTTTAAGATTTTTTTTCAGTAAAGAATTGTGTCGGAATTTTGTTGGAGACTGCACTGAATCTACAGATTGCTTTTGGTAGAATGGCCATTTTTACCATGTTACTACTACCCTACTCATCTGTGAGCACAGATGATTTTTCCATCTTCAAATATCTTCTCCAATTTACTTCTTCATATTAAAGAAAAAAGTTCATAATAAAATTTTTATTGCCTAAGTCTTAAGGCTCTTATGAAAGATACTATTTCCCTGATTCCTTTCTTAGTATGTTTTCCATTTGTATATAGGAAGGCTACTGATTTTGGTATTAATTTTGTACCCAATTACTTTACTGAAAGTGTTTATCAGCTGTAGAAGTTTCCCTGGTGGAACTCTTATGGTCTTTTACATATATGATCACATTGTCTGCAAATATGAATACTTTGACCTCTTCCTTTCCTATTTGTATCCCTTAATCTCCTTCAGTTATCTTACTGCTCTAGCTAAGACTTCAAGTTCTATACTGAGCTGGTATGTAAAGAGCAGACAGCCTTGTCTTCTTCCTGATTTTAGTGGAAATGCTTTGTGTTTCTCTCTGTTTAGGATAATGTCAACCACATGCTTGCTGTAAATGCCTTTATTATGTTAAGATACCGTCCTTATATCCCTCGTCTTTCTCATTTTTAGTAGCTGATAGAATTCCTGTTCTTGCACTATACCTGCTCTCTCCTGAAGCCCACATTTCCCTCCTAGGTGATTTCGGGTGTTCTTGAAGTTTTGTATAGCGGTTCTGTAAATGGTCAGCATCACTTCCCAATTCCAGTGTTTCCACGTTTTCCTGAGCTAGAAGGTTAAAAGTTTGAATTGTGTCAAAATCCATATGCTGAAATCACAACCTCAAGTGGTATTAAGAGACAGGACCTGTGAAAAGCTATTAGATCATGAGGATGGAGCCCTCACAAGTGGATTAGTGTCCTCATGAAAAATACCACGGTCTGGGGAATAGTTTAGAGATAGAATGCTTACCTATATAGGTGAGCCATCCAAGGTGGGAGGGAGGAGACAACAGGGGATGAGGTTGGAGGGAGATTGATTGATTGATTGATTGATTGATTGAACGGACCTCTGGCTTTCAGAGCTTCTCCAGCTTTGCTGATGTTTTTAATCTGTCCTGCTTCTCTTGGCTGCTGTTTTCAGCCATCATAGAACAGTTCCTCCACCTGTTTCCGTCACAGAACAGTTCCCCCCAGCTGCTGTTTCTGTCACAGAACAGTTCCCCCCAGCTGCTGTTTCCATCACAGAACAGTTCCCCCCAGCTGCTGTTTCCATCACAGAACAGTTCCCCCCAGCTGCTGTTTCCGTCACAGAACAGTTCCCCCCAGCTGCTGTTTCTGTCACAGAACAGTTCCCCCCAGCTGCTGTTTCTGTCACAGAACAGTTCCCCCCAGCTGCTGTTTCCGTCACAGAACAGTTCCCCCCAGCTGCTGTTTCTGCACAGAACAGTTCCCCCCAGCTGCTGTTTCTGTCACAGAACAGTTCCCCCAGCTGCTGTTTCTGTCACAGAACAGTTCCCCCCAGCTGCTGTTTCCTTCACAGAACAGTTCCCCCCAGCTGCTGTTTCCTTCACAGAACAGTTCCCCCCAGCTGCTGTTTCTGTCACAGAACAGTTCCCCCCAGCTGCTGTTTCCTTCACAGAACAGTTCCCCCAACTGCTGTTTCCATCACAGAACAGTTCCCCCCAGCTGCTGTTTCCATCACAGAACAGTTCCCCCCAGCTGCTGTTTCCGTCACAGAACAGTTCCCCCCAGCTGCTGTTTCTGTCACAGAACAGTTCCCCCCAGCTGCTGTTTCTGACATAGAACAGTTCCCCCCAGCTGCTGTTTCTGTCACAGAACAGTTCCCCACAGCTGCTGTTTCTGACATAGAACAGTTCCCCCAGCTGCTGTTTCTGTCACAGAACAGTTCCCCCCAGCTGCTGTTTCTGTCACAGAACAGTTCCCCCCAGCTGCTGTTTCTGTCACAGAACAGTTCCCCACAGCTGCTGTTTCTGACATAGAACAGTTCCCCCAGCTGCTGTTTCTGTCACAGAACAGTTCCCCCCAGCTGCTGTTTCTGTCACAGAACAGTTCCCCACAGCTGCTGTTTCTGACATAGAACAGTTCCCCCAGCTGCTGTTTCTGTCACAGAACAGTTCTCCCAGCTGCTGTTTCTGTCACAGAACAGTTCCCCCCAGCTGCTGTTTCTGACATAGAACAGTTCCCCCCAGCTGCTGTTTCTGTCACAGAACAGTTCCCCCAGCTGCTGTTTCTGTCACAGAACAGTTCCCCCCAGCTGCTGTTTCCTTCACAGAACAGTTCCCCCCAGCTGCTGTTTCTGTCACAGAACAGTTCCCCCCAGCTGCTGTTTCTGACATAGAACAGTTCCCCCCAGCTGCTGTTTTTAAGCCACCACACAGGAGTGGGCTTGTATTGCAGGTTTCAATTACCCAGGACAAATGACAGTATGAAAATATGAAATGGAAAATTCCATATAAACAATTCATAAATTTTAAGTTGTGCATAAATGTAATGGGAGGAGTAATCTGATGAAAGCTGGCACCACCCTATCATGTTCAGCCTGACTGTAAGTCATCTCTTTGTCCAGGGTAAACAACCTTTGCTGTAAACAACCTGTCTGTCAGTCACTAAGTAGCCACCTCTATTTCAGATGAATTGCAGGACTTCGCTGCTTAGGTTCAGGTAGCCCTGGCTGTATTTTAAGATGGTCATAAAGTATAAGATTGGAGATTCTGGTGACTTTATTACAGTGTATTGCTATAATTATTCTGTTTTATGAATAATTAATTTTAATGCCTTACTGTGTGTGATCCATTTAACTTCGTTGTATGTGTCTATAAACAGGAAATGTCATATATGTAGGGTTTACTCCTATCTGTGGTCTCAGGCACCCATTAAGCATCTTGGAATACATCTCCTCTGATAAGAAGATTATTATCTATTTAATGATGATATAACTGTATACTCGAAAGGGTCAGCTCTTGTGTACATTTTACACAATAAAGAACAAGTGAAACTGTGCTGTATCCATGAACAAGCTTGCCTATACTATTCCCATGCCTTAGAACGCATTCCCAGAACAACTTTCCCTGCGGCTCCACCACAGAATGCACTGAGCCATCTCAGAACTCCATGTTCCCTGGGAAAACCTAGGTTAAGAACTTCCAAGATTCCTGACTCTTTCATATTTCGCAATGCCTGGTTTAGTAAATGAAAAGGCACTCAGTTACATCTGATTTACAATGAAGATTTTCTATAAATAGGCAGTAGTTTGTAAATATAAACGTGGCTCAGGTGGTATTAGGGTGCATTTATATAAAAGTGTTTCCTTGCTTATCTGGCTTCCAAACCCTCCTTGATAACCTGTTTCATGTGGCTGTTCATTTTGACTTATGTTGCTAGGAATGTTCCAAACCACTAACCCAAGAGTGACTTTTTTTTAATCAGCACACCAGTTTTTTATTGCTGTACTAATTTCCGAACATCATTCTTTGTGGTTTTACATAGCAACTGGGTTAATTAATCCCATTCCTGTTTATTATTGCTTGTAATTGTTACATAAAACATTAAGATGCTTTCTCCCTAGGTTTCATTTTAATATACTTGTTTTGAACAGTCAGTGTGAATGGTACAGCACCTTTTGGTAGCATAGGGCAGTACTTTAAAAAGACATCAGTTAAAGCTTTCTCCTTACACAAGACTCTCCCATCCTATCCTGGGCCTAGCCATGTGTGCTGTGCTCTGTGTAGCACTGAGTCACTGTGTTGTTGGGACTCTGACGGATGCATGCTTCAATTCCAAATATATCCTGTTTACTCGAGCCCAGTTGTAGCTCTGGCTGCACAGACAAATGAGGGTCCTCATGCCCATCTGTCGTTTCAGCACTGGCTGAGACCACACTGGGATGCACACTCTTAGAAAACTAAGTATCGCAGTCCCTCCAGGTCTCATGCAGTGGTGACTGCCAGACGCTCATCTGTGAGCCTACCAAGGATTGTCTACTGTTTAAAAGCCAGGCAGGAAAGGATCAAAAGGCCTTTTTTCTTTCTTTTTTTTTCTTTTCTTTTATCTTTTTTAAGATTTATTTATTTATTATGTATACAGTGTTCTGCCAGCATGTATGCCTGCATGCCAGAAGAGGGCACCAGATCTCATTATAGATGGTTGTGAGCCACCATATGGTTGCTGGGAATCGAACTCAGGACCTCTAGAAGAGTAGCCAGTGCTCTTAACCTCTAAGCCATCTCTAGAGCCCTGTAAAAGGCCTTTTTTCTTTTACCTGGAGTGGCACCACCCTGGACATCAGGTGGTCAAAGTAAAGGTCCACTGCCTTAGTGAAGCCATGGTAAGTTGTTCTCAGCTTCATGTCAGGGTCTTGGAGGAGCCAGCTTGAAGAAGGAAAGAAAAGTAGTCTTAGTGCCAGAGTCTGTGTGTTCCCCTTAGGCAGGCTGATGAGCAGGGAGGAGGAAGCAGCTTCATACAGCTCAAGAATGAGTCAGGAGAACAAGTCAGGCCAGGGTGAATCACCACCCCACCACCTCCAATTAGCTAGGATGTCAGGAAGCTATGCACACAGTCCAGAGGCAAGCACACCACTGTGCCAGCCTGCACACTGAATGCCTTGGGAAGTTAAGAGTTCGACTTCATGGCTACAGCAGCTCTCACTGTCCACTGGGATGAAAAAAAAAAAAAAAAAAAAACAAAGGCCTGGTTTTCAAGTATTTACACCAAAGACCCGAAACAGACATGGTAGAGCACCCCTAGAACGCCAGCACCCAGCTGAAGCAGGGAAATCATGAGCTTAAAACCAGCCTGAGCTAAATAGTGAGTTGGGTGGCCTATGTAAGACCCCATCCCAAGGCAGGAAGAAGAGGCAATGCCAAGAGGCTTACAAGTCACTGGGACTAGAGAGGCCCGGATTCAACCTTCCAGGATGCCCAAAAAATGAACCTGACTGAGCTGTGAGATGCTGACTGAGCGACTCACATGCCTGGGCCCTGAAGTCTGCCACCAGGGCAGCAGCAGGAGGCCAAGATGACATCTTCCCTTAATCTGCTGTGGTCACAGATTCCAACAGAAACTCAACACCAGGGGCTAGTTCCAAAGCTAAAGTCAAAAGTACTTCCCATTCAAATGAAGTCCTGAAAAACACATTTTCTAGCAGGAGACTCTAAGGTCTCCCTTCCCCTAACTCAGAAACTCTGAAAAGGGACAGAAATGTATCAGGGACCGTCAGTTGGTGACGAAAGGCTGGCGGCAATGTCTCCTCTAGCTTCACCTACATGCCCAGATCTATCAAACACGCCTAGTTTCTCACTGCACTGACACCTTACCCTCCTGGAAAACCCCTGTGAATAGGCAGAAGCCCCCAACCACAGCAAAGGAGGGCAGATCCAAGAGTGAGAGTCCCTACTGCTTCTAATTTAAGACCGTTAAACCCAGCTGTCCTCCCGTGCCCAGCTCCAGCTGAGCCCGAGGAAAATGCTGACGGCGGCACAGGTGTCTAATCCGCAAGGAGAGGCAAGCAGCTCTGCCTCTGCCCACAGCTCTGTCTGGGACATTGTGCCAGATCAGATTCATGCTCACTACTGGAGAGGACATGAGCTGTACCCCTGATGGGAGGGCAGGCTTTGCTGGAAACCGAGCAGACAATGCCTGGGCATAGTACTTGTGTTGTGAGGACAGAGTTCCCCACACCACTTCCAGACCAAGAGGTTCAGCCTTCTTTCCTCAGGGGACAGCACAGGTGGGTGGAGGCTGTGGCTAGCCACCTGTGATTGACACCGTGAGGCCAAAGATGATAACACCAGTTAAGATAGAACTTGTTTTGATGGAAAGTGAAGGCAGTCTTGCTGAGGAAGAGGAATGGATGTGGGCCCACGTGATAGATACCCATCTAGACACCACTCCCAGAGTACATTGACCTTAGTGGGAACCGCACTTAGAAGAACAGACCCAGGAGAACTGAGGACAGAAACCACAACACCAACTCCTCATTACTGCAGCAACACTTGGGGTTTTAATAAATCAGCAGGAATGTCTCTAAGAAACAGATAGGGCAGGTTTGGTTTGCCTCATTTTGCAGTAAGGGCCAGATCAGATAAGTAACCTGCCTAGGTGCCTCTCCAGAAGAATGGAATGCCTCCAGATAGATAAGCGTCTTGCTGCTGCCACCTGACACAGGGAAAGACCCAAGGGACTCGACAAGGGCACTAACTGCAGCATTCCTCCAGACAGCCGTGTCGGTGACATCTGTCCGGAAGGGAAATGCTGCACAGAATGACAACTACCTTCAAAACAAAACCAAGCCAACCCCTGCAAGGGTCATGAATGGGCATCCAGACCCCTATGGCTACTCCAGAGCCCCACACTGCCCTTTCTCACCTGGGCAAGCCCCCGAGGTCAATCTCACTACAGATGTAGGGCCCTGGTCGCAGAATCACATACAGCCCAATCTTGGCAGCCAGCTGGATAAAGGCCCTAGGGAGGGAAAGAAAGTCAGCCCTGAGGACCCAGAATAAAGGCTAGATATGAGAGGAGCCACAGGCACGTGGGGGATCGAACTGTCCGCTTCCTCCCCTGCCCTTCTCTCTCAATCAGGGAATGTGGGTTGAGGAAGGCTTGGCCCCAGCTCAACACAGGAGGGGATTCCTGCACCAGATAGGGTCCAGAAGCCCTGGGAGCTGAGTATGCATTGGCTCCTTACATCAGGACCATCCACACAGGATTTGTCAGACAGGGTACAGGGCTTTGTCCCCAACAACAGCCTTGTTAGCCCAGAAGCAGCCCCAATTCCATCCCAAACATATGGACCCCAACACAGAGTCTGATGAGATCTGGGATCTTGACCTTCTGGACTGTAGTGAAAGGGAGAAGTGGAGCCTATAGGCTGAGTCCCCTGGGTAACAAGTCACAATTGAGGAGCATCTAGGCCCTAAGTTCAGAACCTTTCTAAGCATGCTAAGAACAAGGCTCCAGACCCAGTCCTCAGAGTTTCTCAAAGTAGAGCCAAGACATGACATCCTGAGTTCTCTTTATCGACCCCAAGTAACTTCCAATCCCGAACCAGGTACAGAAGCACCGAGACCACATACTCCAGGTCCAGGTTCCCAGAGAAGTCGAATTTGCCTCTTTCTGGCTCATGGAGGTTCCAGGGCACATAGCTGTAAGAGACAAGATAACTTCGGCTGAGTTTGATCATTCACAGAAACATTTTATCTCTAACACTCGTTATAATGGCTAAAGAGACAGTTTTCAATAACTTCAAACCTCGGGGACCAGACATGGGGACCACAGAGAATTCAAGGCAAGTCCTAGGAAGAATATCACATCTCCTTAGGAGGACAGAAAGTCAGCTAGACTTAGGTGACATATGAGCTACGTGGAGTAAAAGGTCTGGCTGTGACCCCAGGTTAGTTCACATTGCAGTGTTCTTATGACCTCTAGGAGTCTCTAAAAGGTTAGACATATTACTTTCACCAGTGCTGTGACTGTCCTTTTAATAACTGTCTCCAAAGCCAGTTCATAAACCATTCAAGGCAGTCCACTCCCTTGATTTGTAGTCACATCTTTTATACCCGATAATGAAGCATTTCAACCTAGCAATCCTCTTTATTTCATAGAGACAGCACCAAATAAATGCTAGCAATTTTGAAAACAAAGCCATGGAAATATCAAGATTATCCCTCACTGGAATTTATTTATTTTAAATATTTTTTTCTTATTTTTTAATTAGGTGCATGTGTGTCTGGAGAGTGGGGTATGTGCGTGTGAGTGCAGGCTCCCACAGATACCGAAGGCACCTCTGGAGCTGGGGTGACAAGCAGGCTGGGCGGCGCCTACCATGAATGCTGAGAACCGAACTCTGGTCACTCTCAACTGCTGAGCCATCTCCTCCAGCCCCTAAGCCTACTTTTTAGATGACTAGCATAGCCTACATTTCATCTTGTGTCTGCCATAGAAGAGTCACTAGGCTAGATGCAGGGATGATAGTCACAAAAATCCAAAGACCTTCCCAGAATACAGATGCTGAACTGATGACAGGCCACTACCCTAAAATGTGGGGAGCAACAGCTGCCTGTGAAAAACTGTCACCCGTCGATCTAGACAAAGTGGTGCACGCTTGCAATCCCAGCATTCAGGACTCCACCCAAGGAGGGCCGAGAGTTCGAAGCCAGCCTGGGCTGCACAGTCAAGAACGTTTCTCAAAAAAAGAACATCACTGGGAGTATGTTTTTAGGACAAGAACAAAAAAAGAGAAGACACTAGTAAGCACAACTACAATGGAAAAGTCATTGAGAACAAGAGGAAGATGACCGTTCTCCACTAGCCACGAAGGTCCAGGAGAAACTACACTTGCGGACAGCTTGGCCATGAGTGGTTAGACTTCAGAACTGTGAAAAAGCAAGTTTATTTATTCAAGCCACAAAATGAATAAACAAATCATCTCCTGTATCTATCTATGCTCAACTCTCTCTCTCTCTCTCTCTCTCTCTCTCTCTCTCTCTCTCTCTCTCTCTCTCTCTCTCTCTCTATTACACACACACACACACACACACACACACACACACACACACACACACACACACACACAAAACCACACTACTACCTGGTTGCATCTCCTCTACCTCATCTGCAGGGAGTTCTATTGCAAACCTAAGCAAGCAGCTTGATCTGACTTCCTCTTAAAGCTCTCTTCCTGCAAGCACCAGGGCCCCGGGTTTGGTAGCCAGGCTTGGTGGAGTGATGAGAAAACCACACTTACGTGGTAAGGGTATTCAAGCCACAGGCTTTCATTTTGAGCAGGCGGTCCCTCCAGTATTCCTTGGGCACACGGAAATAGTGTATGGATCCCCCAAATATCTGAAAGGTGGAGTCCTCCAGCACGAAGTCTGAGCCTTTTGTTCGAAGTCCCAGGCGCTGAGGCTGGAGCCATAGAGGAAGCAGAGTACTCCACTTCAACCTGAAAAAGCAAAGACCTTCATGGAGGGGTGAAGTTCCCACAGTGGTGAGCACTGGCACAGAGATACACACTTTGTCCTTCTCTCCTTCACAAGTCCTCTGCTTTCTCTCTTTCACCTGCTCCCAGGGTGGCCAGGCAAAGCTCCCACCTTCCCACTTGGCCAAACCTTGGCAGGTGACTTTCTTCAGCACTACTTCCGGGGCTGGGCCCCACTGCAGGGGAAGTGCAAGCTGATGCTGCAACCAGGAACAAGACAGACACAACGTTCAACATGAAGACACGTAGGCTAAAAGGAGAGAGGATGAGGAAGGGTCATGCCACGTGGGGAACTGCCCTCTAGTGTCACAGACAGGGACAGTGCAGCTCACGAGCACCTACTATTGCCAGTTGTTCTAAAGCCATCAGACTAGACATCAAAGCAATAGCTACCAACACAGTACCTCAGAGCCCCCTCATGGTCACAGCCGCCCACCTTGGGGTTCAGATACCTAGAAAGAGGCATCTTGGTTAAATGGTATCCATTCACTGACCAGATGGGAAGTTAGTAATTATCTTCTGATAATCTAGCATCAACCAAGGGTTAACACAGAATGGCAGGAGCCTGCCCAGGAAGTCTATGGGGAAGCTGCAGTCTACGAAAAGGGTCCTGTGAATGTCTGTCTCAGTGCTTGGCTGGCCCAGGGGAGCCCTCAACTTGTTCCTGTGACTTATACAACTAGAAGTCTCTCTTTATCTAGGCTCTAAGAAGTCACTAGGAAAAGTCAACAAGAACTGGTTTAGGACAAGTTGGAGACAGAAAATAAGACCATAAGAATATTTGGTGCAAAAGCAAGTTTGAGCTTTTTTCATTATAGATCCTGCAACAAGAGGACATATTGCCAGGCAGATTAAAAAAAAAAAAAGTTACCTGAGTGCCAAGAATTATGGGCCTGATGGCTCCAGAATAGACAGTTTACTAAGAGTGCAGACAGTACATGGGCATCACTGCCTACTTGGGAATTCTCTGGGACCATTCATGGACAATAAAAATTACTTTTGATCTGTTACTTCTGACTTCTCACACCCCCAGCTTCCAAACCTGCCAGTAGCAGGTGGCAATTGAACCACAGGAGATTGGCCCGCCAGGAAACAAAGCACTAATGGGTGAATCTCAGCTAGGCAAGGCCCCGAGGGCTTCAGCTCCAGAATGCTTCTTGCTACTGCTGTGCCTTTACATGTTTTCTGCTGCCACTTTTCTCTGGTATCTGGCATGGTGTGAATGGATGTGGGAAGGGGGATCCCCACTGACCTTAATGTAGTGTGATTATCTCATGGAAATATCCCATTCTACTGGGCATTTTTACCTGTGGGCTATCATGAAGATGATTTCCTCCTAAGCTGTACTGTTTAACTGAAGCAATGATTTGATACAATAATAGTATCAGCTTAAATAGAATTTTAATGATTGAGAGGGTTTTTAATAATTATAATAAGTGATTTCGATAGAGGTTAGGTTAGTGGGAAAATTAATATAGATAAAAGCAGGATATGGTGTTGCCCTCACCCCTGCTAAAACAGGGCCTGCAGAAGATACAAAATAAGAATAAGGAAGTATCACGCAGCTAGGACATATGAGTTTCTCTTGAGGAGCTGTATAGACTGCTGCTTAGCTTAATAATTATGAATAATAGTTGTGTCCCAGAAGCTAGACTAGCTCAAGTTCTTTTAATCTTGATGTTGGGAGATGTGTTCATGGTTTCAGTGTGCATCATAGCTAAAACAAAGCTTTAAATATGACTTAAGATTGGGTTAAGATGTTTTTGTTATTGGTTTTGGGGAAGAAAATCTTGGGGAACAAGGTAAAGTTTAGAAAGGCACATAGTTGAGTGAGTCACTCATTGAGGCCAAGAAACAAGAACAAAGACAGCCCAGTTATTATTAGCTTATGTGCCTTTCTTGCTAGGATGAGTTGGTGATCAAAGGTGATGATTAATTCCTTGTACCCATTTCTGCCCTCAGCTTCCTGGCATAAAAAACTGTTGATGAGTGGGCATGCACCCTGATGATTGAAAGTAGAGCTGACTGATTTTTTTTATATATGAAGGTTTAGATTTGTGATTCTTTTAAGATTTCCCTAAGATTGCCTTTTAAGATAAATAATAAAGTGGTTGGTCCTTTCCTGTAACCACAAAAATGCAGCCTGCCAGTAAAAGAACTGGCTGAGAAAAATACCTTGCTCACTTACACTCTGTTAATCTGTAACAAGTTGCTTGGACATGAATGTATGTGGGTTCCTGGGAATAATTTGTTTTTCATTGTGATACATAAAATGTAAGGGAAATGAGAAACTTGTTATTTTTCACTTGTATTCATTGTAATCACTCACCCCCTCACCAGAGAATTACGTTTTACTCCCTCAGACAGAAAAGTCAAGCTGAGTGATTAGTTCGCCCCGACTCCATGGATCCCCCTCAAGCCCTGAGCTGCTGAAGGCTGGTCCTCATGGCAGCCATACAAACCCATATAGGACTCCACTTCTGTTTAGTCATCTAACCTGTGACCTAATCTATCTCTCTCTCTCTCTCTCTCTCTCTCTCTCTCTCTCTCTCTCTCTCTCTCTCTCTCTCTCTCAGCAGAAAAGCTTCATGTTCCAGCAAATGACTGGCAGATGACATCTGAGGACTCAACCACCTTCTTAGCGGGATGAAAACAAAAACAGCATTTGGAAGTAGATCTAGAGGCCAGTTCCCTGGTAGTACTCTCATCCTAAATTAATGACTCCAGTTCTATGGGTGAGTTTCTTCTGTGGAATGGGGCTGGTGCCTGTCTCTACCACTCAAAAAGGCCATTGAGAGGGTTAGGTAAAAATAAAATGCCCTGTGGAGTACGATGAAGGAGTCTCACCATTATTTGAAAGCAACTCGTGTTAGTGAGCTCTCGAGGCACAAAGAACAGTCTCGGTACATTTAAAGACATTAATATGAAATAATCCCATGGTTGCCATTCCCCTATTTTAGTGGAAAACACTTTCGGTGCTAAACTTTGTGTCAGGCTATCTCATTACAGCTCCAAAACTGTCGCACTGAAAGATCTATCCAGTGAGATCCTCTCCACCAATCCAATCCCTCTGCCAGCATGTAATTTATTCCAGCCAAGGGCCAAACCCTGCCTACCACCTGTCTATGCAAAGCCTGCAACACAAAAGTGGTTTTCACATTTTTAAATGATTGAAAAGAATCAAAAGAATAATATAATAATAATAATAATCGTTTAATATGTTTCTAATATAATAATATTTGGAAACATATTAAAAGAATGACACAAAAGTCACATTTCAGTGCTCATAAATAATTTTACTGACACACTACTACTTCCACCTTATATATATGGATGGTTGCTTTGCACAGGGAAGCAGCTACTGTGGAGACTGTGTGGCTCACACTACGGATTAATGCCTGACCCTTGCCAGGAACCCTGAAAACCTCTATCCTAGTTGAGGAGTCCTGGGTAATTCAAATGAAGCCCTGAGGTTCCCACTCCCCCCACCCCATCCCACCCAGCAGTAATTCTCAGCAGGATCCTTTCTTAGGCAGTAGGCTCTGACAGTTTGAGCAGTTTTCCACTTGTACATCTCCCTTGGTTTGAGGATACTTCCTCTGAAGAACACACTCTACTTTACTTGTCTGCTCACCTACCCCCAGCACACACACACACACACACACACACACACACACACACACACACACACACACACACCCCTGCTAGACTTGCCAGGCTACTGTGAGTAGTGACTGGAAAGATAGTTTCTTTGTCTTTAAAAGTCTTGAAAGGGGACACAATGAGAGTCTGGTTATGAAAATATACATACACACACAATCTCATTATTTTTAAAGACATTTATAAAACATGTCAGTGATCACTTCATCGGGTAGCGATCTTTGTTCTCTGGACAGAACTTGAAAAAAAGACATCTCTAAATGTTGGCCAAAGTTCACATCGTTCATCCTAACTTCTTACTTTCCTTAGTGAGCACCTATAAATTTCTGTTTATGGGTGCAAAAGAGTCCTTTCTCCTAAGGAGAGATGGACAGAGCTGGCTGGAGGCAGGCTCTTGTGACATTCCTCACAAATAACAAACACTCTTCTCTGCACCCTAGTTGGTGACCAATGCAGGCTGACTTCTCTGGGTGTGGTCTGCAGACAGAAAAGTATTTCCATGTGAAGCTTGTTGGAAATGCAGAAATCTGAGACCTACTGAACCAAAACCTGCACTTTAACCAGATTTCCAAGGTTAGAGACAAGTGCCTGCCATCTGTACTTTCCCCTTCAATACGTGCACGCGCTCGCCTGCCCGCCCTCCCGCCCTCCCCCCTCCCTCCCTCCCTCTCTCTTTCTCTCTCTCTCTCTCTCTCTCTCTCTCTCTCTCTCTCTCTCTCTCTCTCTCTCTCTCTCACACACACACACACACACACACACACACACACACCATTTTTCCTATGATGAAATGAAACAAGCAATCAGTAAGAGAAGTAAAACTACTAAATTCACAAACATGTAGAAACTGAACAACACTCTTAACCAAAAAATGGGCCAAGGAAAAAAACACAAAGAAATCAGAAAATGTTTGAGATGAAAAACAAAACCACAACACAGAAAATATACAGCTCCAGTCCAAATTTTCTTGAACTCCACAGTACCATGAACCAATTAATGACTTGATATCTTTCTTGCAACGTATAGCAAGCACATGGGTTGGCTGCCCCTCCCCCAATGTATCTCTTTCTCTCCTCTCCTCCACCAACAAATTCCAACTTCCAGTTGTTCAGGACCAGATGCTGGAGTCATCCTTACCGCTGCTTTCTTTTTCTCTTTGTCTTTTTATATGCTATCGTTTTCTAGATTTTAAAAAAACGATCCTCACTGCTCGTCAAGAGATGGGAAACAAACACTGCAAACAAACAAACAGCTAACTTGCCAAATTCTGAATTCAAAAAAGTTCCATTTTTTTTTTTCTAGAAATT